GGGGGGGGGGTGGCGTGGGTGGCCGCGGGCGGGGAGGGGAGAACGAGGGACGGGAGGGGTGAACGATCATCTCCCCTCTGCATCCCCCACCCTGCACCACGCCGCACGGGCGCCAACGTCAAGCGCTTTCGAGACGTTAAGGCCGACACTCGCGTCGCGCACCTCGGCCCGACGACATCGTACGGTGACGGCCAGGGACACACGTGTGTGGTTGAGGTGTTTCGCAAATCGAGCACCTGCTCCCTCTCCCCAGTGAGAAAGAGAGCAAGATTTTCGTGAATTGTACGCGGGTTCTTCGCGGTTGTACGCGGGACGTCTCGCGATTGAAAGACTTTCGGCGAGATCGAGTCTCGACGTCGTCGTGTCCGATTTCTGGATTTTTTCTTTCGTCGCGCCTGTTCGATCGTTCGCGGCATCGCGAATCGTTCGTCGACACGTGCTCCGCGCGATAAAATTGTTATGTGCGTGTCGCGGCGGGAGGAAGGGTGAAGTGTTCAGATAAGTATTTGCAAGTGAAAAAAAAAGGAAAAGAATTCGTAATCTGCCTCGCGGTGCACGCCTGACGGGTTCCTCGATGCGCCCTGCGTCAGGGGGTAAAAGTTGCACGTGGTGGGAACCCGACGACCTCTGACAGCAGCCCCGCGGTGAGCGCGAGGAGTCGCGTACGTCAGTTGACAAGTGAGAAAAGAGGAATTCGTCGTCGACGAGTGTTCTCGTTTAAAGATCGTCAGGACGATGAAGAAATCCTACTTCGTCTTCGTGAGTACTTCATTTTTTTATCGCATCACTCGCGACGCACCCGCGTAGACCGCGATTGCCTTTCTCGTTGTCAGTGTACGAAAGGAGATCTCCCTTCGCTACTTGAACCTCCGTTTTCTTCCCTTTTTTAATTTCTCCCTTTCTCTTCCCCGATCGCCATCTCACTTGAGAGATGACAGGAAAAACGGGTCGGGCCTCCTGGGACACCGGGACGTATTTTATGTCCAGACTCTTGCTTGTTTCACGAAGAAGATCAAAGGCCATGAGCATCACTTTAATCTGCCGATGCACCGCTGTATCTTTCTCATATCCCTTTGAGTGGCCGAACTTTTGAATGCGGTCTCCGAGAGCTGGAAGCCCTCCGTGTCCTTTCGCTGCGCGCACCGCACCACCCTCGTCCTCCGCAGTCCAAGAACGGCGAAATTAACGACATGGCCACGTGACTCTCCCTCTCTCCCTCGTCCCGTTTGAGGGGTTGAAGGGGAACGAGGTCAGTCGGTGCACGCGAGTCGACCAATGTCGGTTTCCAGGCTTTTCGGAGCGCCTTGAAATATAGAGCTACATTGGCTGCGGTTAATTTTACGAGAATCCATAAATTTTGTTTTTCGTCTGCATGTCTCAAAAATATTATCATATCTCAGGGTATATTATAAACGGGATTAAATCTGGAGAGGGTAAATTTAAAACTTACAATTAAGTATAGTTGAGATAACGATCACCAAATTTGATTTTTCAATAACTTTGCAGAAATAGCCTGTTAAGTAGTATTCATTTAGATTTAATAAAAAAAAAAAAGGATGTAAACTACAAGATAAAGTTTAAGTATGTTTTTATTTTATTCATTATATCCACGAATGAAAAAAGCAATATTGGAATGTCATTTACAAAAGACATTGTAATCAATTTTCTTCAAATTATTTAAGTATAATTGTATACGTCCGAATGTAATTAAAAGTAGTATCTTTTGATTTCATATGAGAAATATTTTTAGGAATTATTTTAATACGCCAATATTTAATATATATATGAATGTAACGTTATTGATTAAAATATTAATGTATACGAGTTGTGAGAAGGAAACATGTATAATAGTTGTTTCCAAACGCGACAGCACTTCTGGTAGAAATCTGTCGATAGTCATCAAAGCGTCGCCGTCAACGGATCCGCCGCGCTCGACAAAAGACGTCTTTTCCACGGTGTTCCGCGAATTTTTTGGCGCATGGTTTTGTTTGATATAGCAGAAACTTTGTCGAAACTTACGAGCGTGCTGCGTTGCGTACAATACAAACGAGGAGCTTCCGCGCTTCTTCAACAGCATCTCGAAAGAACTCAGAAGAGAGCGCAGAACTAAAGTAAGGAAAGCAACGGCCATATAGTCGGTCGTATTTTTGGCGTTCGCGGAGTTTCAGAGCGGAGAATTTATCGGGGCACACGGCAATGCACCCCATTGTTGGTTCACGGATTTATTCACGAAGCTCGTTAAATGTTTTCAACGCAAATTCTACTCGAATTTTTTAACTATCGACTATAGATGTGTTTTGTTCTTTTTCAAATATTGTGCAAAAAAAAATTTATTATTAATTATAAATGTGCAAAAACATTAGTCTTAAATTAAAATATATATTTTTATGTATATAAGCAAAAAATATTATAATCTTACAAAGAAGATTTTGATCTTAAATTCAGTGAAGAAGTAATACTTGCATCAACAAATTCAATAAATTCAAGACTAAAATCTTTTAAGAAAACTATAACACTTTTGCTTATACAGGGTGTCCCAAAACCCGCAGATTTCCTTTTAATTGCGAATTCTTTAGAATTCTTATATATACAATACAAATTAAATTAAATTTTAAAAAGAGTTCAAAATCTGTAAATCTATCAATTTATATATTTTGAATTCTTTTTATAATGTTTTATTAATATAAAGATAAAAAATGTATGCCGATAATTTAATATGAAGGCATTGAGATTAAACAGATTAATTTGACATGTTTCAGTCTTACTGTATTAACATATTCAATTCTTTTTATGTTAAAAATGGTTTATCTATCGATATTACAAAAATATTTACCATATGAGGTGAACATGAATTCATTTTGACAGTTGACACATATCGTAATATCTTATAATTGTATTGAAATTTTTTTTTATGTTCCGATATTAGTTATTTAATGTACAAATAGGTTTCGTATAAAAAAAAAAATAATTTCTTAGCAAAAATATTATTGCATATTTGTATGATAATCTCGGCGTTATTAAGAGGGTCGATCCTCGTAGCACCTCTATCATTTGTCATATCATCGTGCTTGAGCGCGCGAAATGTCAGCTCTGTGATTAGCCAACTTTAATCGCTATTAATTCAAAAACTATTATAGTCTCGACATTTTCGTATTAAAATTTTCGTTTTAGAATATTCTAAAGAATCCGCACTTAAAAGGAAATTCGCGGGTTTTGGGACATCCTGTATATGAGAATATCCCTATCTTGATTTAAGATATTTTTTTTCTGTGCGCATGCATATATTCTCAGACACATACTGCATCAAGAAACAAACATCAAAACGGATTTTTAACTGCGTATTTGTGAAAGGTTAAATCCTATCCGAAAAACTTTTACGTTTTCAACGGTATTCGAAATATTGAATACGAAAAATAACGATGATTCCCATCAACGGGAGATTTCATGAAATCGCGCCTTTTGATCGTTAAAATCACTATTTCTACTTCGTTTTCTTACGGAAAAAAAAGAGCAACCAGTTCCCTTGCTTTTAAAAGAGTTCACGAGCGTTCCGTAATACTTGAATATTTTTCTCGCGTCCTTCGTATCTTTACGAGGGTCTTTTCGCCTCGTACAAAATTCTTCACCCTGTTTCGAGACGCGAGTAAACCGCTGAGGGAATGAAACGGAGCTTGTAATCTACGAGCTACAATGCTCGAGATCTCTTGTCCTGATCTGCTCCCTCTGTCGCCAAGATCGCCTTTTCTCACCTGCCAAAAGAGAAAGAGAGAGCAAGAGCGAGATAAAAAAAGAAGAAGAGGATCGATTGGGTGATCTTCCGACATGCCTCGAGTTTGCTTTATTACCTGTCGATTATACACGCGGCCACCCTCTCAAGCGTTCTTGTCGTTCTGGGCCCATTGTCGGGTCTCGCCGCCTGGGACTTGTCGCAGTCGATCTTTCTGTGTTTCTGCTCGCCTCTCCGGTGCTATACCTGTGAAGGATCTAGAAAAGCCCAAGACGGCAAACAATGCTGGCGGGATCAGTACATGCCAACTATCCACAAATCTTCGTGAAAGATGGATTTAGAAAGAGATAGGAAATATGTGGGCGCCAACTAGACTTAGTATCGAGCAAAAGCATATAGACAATTAACTATGAATATAAATATTTGTCAATTAAAAATCTATTTATATTCGCTCTGAATAAATAGGCATTAAGTATGTTAAATAAATCGAATAGTGAATGGTGAAAGGGGAGAAAGAGGGGGGAGAGAGAGAGAGAGAGAGAGAGAGAAGTGAGAGTTTTTAACAAACTTTTAACTTATAATAAGCAACAAAATTATAATACAATCCTAAGTTTTTCAAATAATAAAAATTGTATACAAAAATACAATCTTTAATATTTTATGTAAGAAAGATTTAGTTTGCCTTCATTTCGAGTAAAAACAGGCAGAATTAACACTTATAATTCAGATAAACCTGTATGTTATGGTTGCACAGAGTCGATATCAGACTAACATTGTAGATTGAGATTAGAATCTGATCCGATAATCAAGATAAAGATAAAGAAGAGATTTGCTCTTTTCGCTCTGGTTAGTCAAATTACATGCAATCTCAATCTTCGATATGTAGTCTGTTGCGGACTATGTATAAGCATTGAAAAATTAACCAATCGCGTGTTTAGTATGAAGGACGCGCAACAATATGGCATCCTTTTACATCGTGATTGATCTGTTTCTCATATGCATATGCTGCTATATAAGTTTGTTTGGATACGTTTTAGCCTTTAAAATTACAAATATTCAAAATTGAAAATGAATATATGATTAAAAAATATTTAGATTTTCTATTCAGAATTTTTTACTCGGTATTTTTATATCAAGTTAGAAAAACATTAAATGTTTGATACCATCGAATGGCGACGTCTAGCGCCAATACATCAACGGATTAATAAAAAAAAGATTATTAAAATATTTACAAGTATCGTAAATAAACAAATGAAATGAGAAATAGGTGGAAGGTATCCGTGGCATTCCCACTTTAAAAACTACATCAAATATTTATAAACTAAATTACACACTGAAATAAGCGGATTGTCAGACGATAAAAATTTGATTTTTTGACAGCGCATTATATAGTAACTTCAAAATCTCCCTCTCTCTCTTTTAATATCGTTAATTCTTCCGTGATAAATTTCTCAGAATAAGAGCTAATGTTTTATATAGAACTATTTTGCACACAACGCTTTCTCGTAATTAGCAGACTACACCGCCGGTACAGGCTTAGGACTTTAATATTTCTGTACGTGAAAACCGGTGTTAGTTCTAGAATTCGCGATTCCGAGGCAGGCAGCATACTATATAAAGGAAAGGAGGCGATGAATATAACAAGCTAGGTAATACACGCTTGCAGGCTACATTTCTGGTGTATTTACAAAATAAAGCGCATTTAGATATATACGTCTCCGTGCAATAGACTTATTATATTAGTTTGCTCTTCGGCAAAACAAGTATTCGGCAGAACAGATTTTCACGAGATAACTGATATATTTATGATAATAATAAGATCAATAATAAAATTCGCGGAAAGACCAATTTTACTGAAGTATCTGAAAGTTTAGTTGGATACAGATCTGAAAATATATTTGTTGGATTATCAGAATAATTAAGTAAGACGCTCAAGTACGATGTGCAATGCTGCCAAAAGTTTTAGACATTCTGACAATCATCTTGAGCGTCGTAATTATTCTGACGAATTGGTTTCAAATCTGTGTCTAGC